AAAAAAAAGATCTTTTTGTCAAAGTTTAAGTCAAGATAAATTCCCTATGAATTACAGATACAAATAACAACCCTCAAAACCCAACAATTAAAAATTATTATAAGAAAACATGGGAGAATACCTTTACAGTGTTGGATGGGACATGTTTTCTTTAGCATGACACCAAAGGCCAAAATACAAAACATCACTGATTTAACTACCTTACTTCTTAAAATTTCTACATGAATTCTGGTGAAGAGAAATCTGTGAGAATTTAAATTGCATATACCTTTTGATGCAATAATTCTAGTCTTAGATAATTTACTTTTGGATAATACACATTGTGCAAAGACTTATGAAAAAGAATATTCATTTTGACCCCACATGTAGTAGAGAAAACCTGGAAACAATTCAAATGTCTAAAAATAGTGTGCTGGTTAGAAAAATTATAGTAAATTCATACAATGGTATACTATGTAGACATTAAAGAGAATTAGGTTTAATTGTGAAAAAATGCCCATAAGTGAAACAAAAACAAAACCCTTGTAATTCTGTGTGTATGACATGATTCCACTTATAGTTTTGAATAATATGATTGTATATATGCTTAGAAAACATTTTTGAAAAATGGAAACATAAAGGTGCTATACTTTGGGGGAGTGGTTATTGGGTAAAATTTGGGTAAGAGAAGGCAGGCCAAGGGACATGTTTACGATTTACTTCATACAACGGTTTGTCCAAAATATATTTAAAATTATTATGGCACAAGACACGACAAATAAAGTAAAGAGAAATAACAAGCTGGTGAAAAATACTTACAGTATGACAAGTGGATAATGGCCTTAATATGTAATTAGCTGTTACAAATCAGTAACAAAAAGACAGAAAATAAAGATGATGACAATAGCACTAATTTTACACAGAAATAATTATGTGCAGGTTTTAACTTACTCAAAAACCCTTACAACAACACCATGGTATATACAATTACCACCCCCATCTTATAGACAGGGACACTGAGATGCAAAGAGGTTAAGGCATTTGTCCGAGGTTAAAAACAGCAAGTGATAGTAGAAAGATTCAAATGCAAGTGATCTGGCTCCAGAACCTATACTGCCTTTCAAAAGACTGATGGGCGAAGGATATAGAAAGACAATTCATTAGAGGGGAAAAAATGGCCAGTAAAAACTGTTGAGCCTCATAATAACAAAAGAAATGTATGAAGTATCAGACTGCAAGGGATAATCACATGGGTTATGAGAGTATGGGAGAAAAAATCTGTATCACACACTGGCGGGAGGGAAAAGTAGTATACATCCTCCATGTATTGAAATTTATGTATTATGTATCAATATTTACATATTTTATAATTATATATCATGTAGAAAATTTATATATTCTTTGGCTCAGCAATTCTATTTCAAGGAATTCATTCTGAGGAAATAACTGGATAAAAGAGCCAATGTACAAGGATTTCCACAGCAAAGTGAATGCCTTGAATATATATATTTTAGGTACATGTAGCATGTATTTAACATTTAGAAATTATATGTACACACACTCATATGTGCAAACACTGGTTATTTCTACATTGAGAAAAAACTTGCACTTTCTACATTTCTGTATTATTTCTTTTTTATTTTAAATTTATTTTAACATTTATTTATTTTTGAGAGACAGAGAGAGAGCATGAGCAGGAGAGGGGCAGAGAGAGGGAGACACAGAATCCAAAGCAGGCTCCAGGCTCTG